GGCAGGAGAGGCAGTCAAACGATACACAAGTTGGCAACAAAGGGAGCAGGCATTCTGAACATTAAAGATTATTGTTAAGTACTAAGGAAAAGGGCTTCCCACGTGGCCCTAGTGGTAAAGAACACACCTGCAATGCAGGAGATGTAAGAGATGAGGCTTTGAACCCTGGATTGGGAAGCTCCCCTGGAGGAGGGCATGGCAACCCGCTCCAGTATTCTTGCCTGGAGAACCCCCATGGACAGAGGAGCCTGGTGGGCTACAGTCCACGGGGTCACACAGAGTTAGACACAGCTGAAGCAACTTAGCACATAGCACGCACAGTAGTGTGTTAATTGCTCAGTCGTGTCCCACTCTTTGCGACCCTATGAGCTGTAGCCCGCCACGCTCCTCTGTCCATAGGGATTCTCTAGGCAAGAATACCGGAGTGGGTTGCAATGCTCTTCTCCAGGGGCTCTTCTCAATCCAGGGATTGAACCCAGGTCTCTGGCTTTGTGGGCATACTCTTTACCATTTGAGCTACCAGCTCACACAATAAGGAAAACCATACGTCAAGCTAAGGAATTTAGCATTCTTCTGTTTGGGGAGATGCAAGCCTCTGGGCTCACTGAATTCATTCCTTTCATATGCACCTTGGCTATCTGGGGCCAAATCCTGTTTTGTTTTATTTTTTATTTCTCACACCTGCTCCGCCACCCCACCCCACCCCCAGCTCTTTGGCAGTCACCATGGGGGTGGTGGCATGCTGGATCTCAGGCATTGTGTTCCCTTTCCAAAGCCCTCATTCACTTTTGGAAGCTTGAAATCACTGTTGGCTATTACATCCTTGTTTATTGATATGGCTGGAGATATTCCATTTCACATGGGAGAAGACCTGGAGCTGGGCATATGTGGCCAGTTTAGGAAGATACTTAGCTCGGTTGACGTTAGCAGTGAGTGGGGATGGACTTTTAAGAGGGCTTCCCTGTTGGCTCAGGTAAAGAATCTGCCTGCAATGCGGGAGACTCGGGTTCGATCCCTGGGTCAGGAAGGTCCCCAGGAAAAGGGAATGGCGAGCCACTCCAGTATTCTTGTCTGGGGAATCCCACGAGCAGAGGAGCCTGGCAGGCTACAGTCCATGTGTTCGGTCGGACTTTTAAGAAGGCAGAGTTGCACACAGAGATTATGAAACTGTATCCAGGAGGGATGAAGTACACACTGGTGTTAAAGGGTGCTGGCCCAGCATGAAGGGTGGTGAGCTTGGTGCTGGGCGAAATGATGAAGTCCCAGGAAACATGCCTCCCTCAAAGACCTGGTAAAGCTCCCAGGAGACAAGAAATGGATATATACACATGTGGAAAACAACTAGAGAGAATAATGACAAACTACCCATTAATGACTGGAAATAAACACCAGGTCTACAGAAAAATAACTTTTAGAATAGTAAGTTGCGTGTTGTAAAAGCAAGTTGATGAGAGTGTTTACTTTATTACATAAGGATTCAGAACCAATTGGATAAAAAGAAGAAAGTACAAGCAGGTCTAAGAGCTGCCTCTGCTGAGGTTTTCCCATTCTTCTCTGACGGGCCTGGAGAGCTTGAGAAGGTGGGCATGAGTGGGTCGGGAGGTGGGGCTTCTGTATTGATGGAGGATCTGAGGACACAAAGAGATAAAAAGCTTTCCCTGGGGGTACATCCCAGTGACCCCTTACATCTGAAGAGGGCGTTCTACTTTTCAAAGCACATTTCCCAACTTTTATTTGATCTTCCTGCTCTACTGAGATTTGCAGATAAGTGTTGCTCTCCCACTTGCCAGGCAAGGAAATCTAAACCCAGAGAGTTGAAGTCTTTGTCCCAAGTCACTGAACCAGTTTTGCACAGAGAAAGTCTAGGTTCCAGGTTTCCTGACTTTTCCCATCACCTCTGTTTTTCCCACTGTATTTCCAAAGTCTTTGCAAGGTCAGTAGCATGACTCAGCTTTTGAGTTATCAAAAGAACCCTCAAGAGGCCTTGTCTGTGGGTTAAATATTGGAGTTCAGAATAAGGAACTGGCTAAGCAATTTGATCTTTGCTACAATTTTAAAAAATTTTCAGTGGAGTATAGTTGCTTTATAATGTGTCAGTTTCTGCTGTACAGTAAAGTGAATCAGCCACATACCCCATCCCTTTTTTTTGTATTTCCTTGCCATTTAGGTCACCACAGGGCACTGAGTAGAGTTTCCTGTGCTATACTGTAGGTTCTCATTGGTGGGTGGTTTGGTCCCTAAGTTGTGTCCAACTCTCGCAACACCATGGACTGTAGCCTGCCAGGCTCCTCTGTCCATGTGATTTCACAGACAAGAATACTGCAGTGGGTTGCCATTTTCTTCTCCAGGGGATCTTCCCAACCCAGGAATCGAACCCTGGTCTCCTGCATTGCAGGCAGATTCTTTACCAACAGGTTCTCATTACTTACATATTTTATACATAGTATCAGTGGTGCATATATGTCAATCCCAATCTCCCAGCTCATCCCCCTCCCCCCCTTGGTATCCATAGATTTTATTCTCTANGTCTGTTCTCTGTATCTGTGTCTCTATTTCTGCTTTGGAAATAAGTTCATCTCTACCATTTTTCTAGATTCCACATGTATGTGTTAATATACAATATGTGTTTTTCTGACTTCACTCTGTATGAGAGTCTCTAGGTCCATCCACGTCTCTACAGACGGCACAGTAAAAGTAATTCAACTTTCAGTAAAATGGTGTTAGTAATACTTGCCCCATAGGTTTCTGGCGATGATGGAATAAATTCATATTCAGCACTCCAACTGACATATGGTAGGCACTCCCCAAACAGTATTTATTATCATACTAATTAAAATATAATTCTTAGAGGACAGGAATGTCTTTGAATTTTTCATAGCACTAATCCCCTCCATCAGTATCTGACCTGCTCATTTGGTAGAGGTTTAATAACTACTTGGTGAGTGAACGGCTGTATAAACTATGTACAGAATCATTGGATGTGCCCAGGTTGCTTTTATTTCCCTCACGAATTTAAACTCATTCTTCCCTTTTAGTCGCTAGACTTTGAAGTGTTTTCTCCTTCTACATAGTCTCTCATATAGTATAAGAATCTTGTATTGTTTTAGACAAAGCCTCTCATTTTTCTTTTAATCAAATATGGCTCTTTCTTACTAGAATTCTTGTTTAGCAATCTTTTCTAAGGAAACTCTGCTTTGTTTCATTTTTAAACCAGAAGAACATTTCCATTTTTTTTTAAATGCTGAATTGATTTTTTAATTTTTCAAAATGTTTATTTATTTGTTTGGCTGCACTAGGTCTTACAACACATGGGATTTTTAGTTGAGGCATGTGGGGTCCAGTTCCCTGACCAGGGATAGAACCTGGGCTCCCTGCATAGGGAGTGCAGAGTCTTAGCCACCGGACCACCAGGAAAGTCCTTGAATTGATATTTTTAAAAAGTAAAAGTTGCTCAGTTGTGTCCAACTTTTTGCAACCCCATGGACTATACATACAGTCCATGGAATTCTCCAGGCCAGAATACTGGAGTGGGTAGCCTTTCCCTTCTCCAGGGGATCTTCCCAACCCAGGGATCAAACCCAGGTCTCCCGCAATGCAGGCAGATTCTTTACCAGCTGAGCTACCAGGGAAAAGTTAGACTTCCTCTTTTAAAAAGAGAAAATCTAAACATGAAACGTCAAAACCTACCTTCTTAGACTTTTTCAGAGCTTAAGTTTGGGCTACCGTTTTAAACACAGATAAGTCTGGGCTGCCGTATTTAACACAGATAACAATCCACTACTCCACTAGAGATCCCAAGTGGAGGTGGGTTTTGGGACTTGTTCTGTGACTTGTCGGTTCCTCCACAGGTGCAATGCTGGCCCAGCCTCTCCTCTCTTCTCCAGACCCCCCAGCCCTCAAGGCCAACTCAGGCTCTGCTTTCCAAGCAGGGTCATGTGATGGCCCCTTTCTGTCTATCCATTTGTGCTGATGACACTGTCCATTCTGGCCACTGGCCATTCAGCACATTTCGCTATGTTATGCAGTTAGTATTATAATTTTATCTTTGTCTCTCCAAGTCATTTTCACATAGCTTGAGGGCAAACCTATTTCCTCCATTCCTTCAGTGCATGCTGCTGCAAAGATTTGATCACTGGATCTCCGTCAGTCTCAGCAGAAGGAAAACGCAGGACAAAGAGCCATTAGATGTTCAGACTTCCGGAAGGAGATGAATTCCTAACATGAGCAGGTTTTGCCTAGGTTTGAGGAGGAAGCTGGGACCAGAGACGAGGATTGACTTTCTCAGGGTCACAAAGCTAATTAGTGGCAGGTCCCTTTAGTCTAGTGAAGGTATCAGCAAAAGGAATTGAACATTTTTTCCCTGTCTTTTTAAAGTTTTATTTTTAGTTGCAAAACAGATGCACACTAGAAGTTTTTTGTTTTTATTAGGTCCGGGGTTTGGCTTAGGGGTCAAGGAAGTTGAAATTCTAACCACTGGCTACAGGACTTGGAGCAAATCATACCCCCTTTCGGAGCCTCGGTATCCTCATCAGTCATGGAGGGAGTTGGATCGCATGCTCTCTAAAGTCCCCTTGGGTTCTGTCATTCTGCAGTTCTTAGCAAGTCCATAGCTCAAACTGGACATGAGCTTGAGACCCTCCTGGTGGGTCCCTGGAGACCCCGTGTCCCCTCCTCAAAGGCTTCTTTCATCTCAGGGAGCTGCAAGGGGAAATAGATTCAGGGACTTGCAGCCCCGGCGACCTGCGGCTTCTTCAGCGAGAAGCAGCCGGAGCCTGCTGACCCCAGGGAGCCCTGGAACACATGAATCAAAATAGTTGTGTGATGTCATGTCATGATGGGAATGCGCTGTGGCCAACCGGTGCCAGGAATTGTCTGGACCGGGTGGTTTCCTTTTACAGTCTTTTTAAAGGGACCTCGGCAGACCTGCACATGACCAGCCGGCCTTGCCCTCCTCCGATTGCCTAGCTCGTCTTCCCTCCCTTTTTTTTTTTCATTTTCAGGAGGAAAAAGCCCCTAGCGCCTGAGTGTGTGGCTGACCTTAACTATATAAACAGACCTGCCTGGGCTTCCGGGGCAGCTTCTTGCCTAGCTGAGGGCAGCGGCTGCTCCAGCTTTGCCGCGGCCCCAGTGGGTGGGTGCAGAGGTGAGCACCACCCGGCCTGTCCGGCGGCTGCTGGCCCCGCGGGCGGCCCCTCCGGCGTTGGCTGGGGGACCCCAGGCTGTGGCTGGAGCCCGCGGGTCGCGTCTCTGAGCTCTCGAGCCCCACGCCTGCCGGCCCATGCGGCGCCGCTCCTGGCCCCCAGGCACCCGGGGCTGACGCTGCCCCCCGCGAGTTCTGGCATGCTCACCCGGCCCGGCTCCCCATGAAGCGGTTTGGCAGCCTCAGGGGCAACAGAAAGCACAAGGACCCAAGCCGGAGCACCGCGAGGCGGCAGTCGGAGCCCCATGGCCTTTGCGGTAGGACACTTCCCTTTGCCCAGTCCTCTGCTGGTCGCCAGGGCCAGTGCGCGCGCGTGTGCGTGTATGTGTGTGTGTGCACAGCCACCCAGGTGACAGCTGTGTGCGGGTGTGACTGTCAGGCAGAGGGGACAGATGGGGACGTGTGTCCTTACGGACAGTCCTGCCCCCTCGCTGTCCTGAGCTGCTCAGCAGTGCTTTCCCCAGGCTGTTTTCTCTAACTGGCCCTGATGAGGGTGAGTGATCAATGGGACTGGCGTTCATTTCGGCAAAAGCAGCGGCCTGGGGAAAAGTAAGAATGGACCGAAACTGTTGTTGGCGGCTGTGAAGTACCAGATGTGCGTGTGTAGAGAAAACTAGTGCTGGAGGTCACTCGCCTCCTTGGCCCCACGCCTGTCATCGGGTGGTCAAGGGTTAATGTGGGAGGGAAGGGTTAACTCCTGCCTTGATTTTTGTCCCCGGGGCTGGGGGTGGGGTGAGGTGAGGGGGGAGAAGCTCCTTGTGTGATCTCTCTGGCTTCTGGGACCTTCTGCAGCCTCTCCAGGCTCTACAGGGGGTCGGGACCAGTATGCCTGACGTGTGGGGTGAACCATCTACACTTCAGTTGTTACAGTGACCTGAGGGTTTGAGGGAGGCACCCTGTCTGGCTCGAGTCGGGCAGGTGGGTTTCAAAGCAGCCAGGGCTTCCCCGAGGGCTGGCTCAGGCCTGCCCGCTCAAAAGTAGGTGGTGGACTTCCTCAGAATTGGGAGTTTGCCTGCCCTGGAGGCTGCTGCTTGTAGAACACAGAATATTTCTGAACACTCCATCCTAAGACAGAATAGCAGCCCCACTCACACAGCCCAGTGGTAGCAAAGATGGGGAAGCTGACAGGTACACCAAATTGTGTTCCTTGGATAGAAGGCAACATGGTAAGTGACCAAAAATAATTGTTTTGTGTAGTAGGGAAATGACTTTGGCAAAACTTCTTGGCAGTACATGGAAACTGGAATATAGGCTTGCATGCATGTTCAGTCTCTTCAGCTCTGACTCTTTGCAACCCCATGGACTGTAGCCCACCAGGCTCCTCTGTCCATGGGATTCTCCAGGCAAGAATACTGGAGCGGGCTGCCTTGCCCTCCTCCAGGGGATCTTCCCAAACCAGGGATCAAAGTTGGGTCTGCCTGCATCTCCTGCATTGCAGGCAGATTCTTTACTGACTGAGCCAGCTGGGAAGCCTGGAATATAGGCATACCTCATTCCATTGCATTTTTCTTTTCTTTTTAATTAAAGGCTTGTGGCTCCCCTGTGTTGTCAGATGATGACCAGAATTTTTTTTAAGCAGTGAAGTATTTTAATTAAGGGATGTACATTGTTTTCTAGACATAATGCTATTGCACACTTAGTAGACTACATTATTGTATGATCATATATGCACTTGGAAACTGAAAATCCATGTGGCTCCCTTCACCATTCTGATATTCACTTTATTGCAGTGGGTTGGAAACTGAACCTGCACTATATCCAAGGCAGTGCCTGTAGTAAGAAAAGAAAAAGGTAAACATAAGACCTACTGACATCACTTGCTACACCCAGTTTACAATTACTTCCGGAAGCTTCTAATGGACCTGGTCTGCCACTGATAACCCCGGGGAGGATAAGCAAAGGAGACAGCAGCTCTGAAATTCAGGGAGTTTTCAGTCTCGTGAAGGAATTAGAGAGCAGTGCCTAATTGCACCGTGTGCAAAGGTGAATTGCTAGAGGAGAACAGTGCCTAGCCTGACATGGCGGGGGAAGAGGTGGGGGATGACAGACACCCTGGGCTTAATTGCCGTCGTTTAGTTGCTCAGTCGTGTCTGACTCTGCGACCCCATGGACTGTAGCACACCAGGCCTCCCTGCCCATCACCAACTCCCAGAGCTTGCTCAAACTCATGTCCATCACGTCGGTGATGCCATCCAACCATCTCATCCTCTGTCATCCCCTTTTTCTCCTGCCCTTCGTCTTTCCCAGCAACAGGCTCTTTTCCAATGAATTGGCTCTTTGCATCAGGTGACCAAAGTACTGGAGCTTCATCTTCAGGCTTAATTAGATGTGGTTTGAAAAGAAGACTCTTCTTTTAAATAATAAAGTGATAAGCATTCATTTACTATAGAGCTAAGTCTAAACCTGTTATTTAACTAAAAGTCTGGTTTTGCTCATGGGCATGGGTGGGCCCATTAACAAAGAAAAAAAAAAGCCTATTATTTGCCAGACAGTGGTTTCTCCCTTGTGTTTTAAATCTGTCATCCTGTCTGTTCTGCTTCCGAAATCAAAAATAATATTTGCATGTTGACCAGGCTTTACAAGTGCTCACATGCAAATACCAGCTCTGACCGCAGGGTCAGGAAAATCAGAGTGTCTTCTAGAACCTTCCTCTGGGATTTGGGATACAGCCCATGTATCTAGTTTTCCTTTTGTTAGAGTCCCAGTGTGAGAGCAGTTGAGCAGGCGCAGGCAGCAGGTGCTGGCGCCTCAGTCATGTGTGGTGTGGATACATCAGAGGAAAATAAAACAAAGCAGAGAATGTAGACCAAGCATCGTCCCAGCTCCCTGCCTGCCGCCTGCCCCTTCCCCAAGACCAGACTGAACCACTCCTATCTGAAACTGTCCCAGCTGCCTATTCAGTGGCCTCCGGGCTTCTTAGGACAAGGGCCACATCCCCAAGGAAGCTTCCCATCCGTCTTCCAACCCTGACGCCTTGAAGCATCACAGGTTCTCACTAGAGAATTGCTGCTTATGGGGTGGATTGAAATGGGGCCACTCCACGGTTACTCCTGGTTCTCCAGCAGCGTTGTTTCCAGATTTTGCTTTCTTTTCATTCCCTTCCAGTCACCAACTCCCAGAGCTTGCTCAAACTCATGTCCATCACGTCGGTGATGCCATCCAACCATCTCATCCTCTGTCATCCCCTTTTTCTCCTGCCCTTCGTCTTTCCCAGCAACAGGCTCTTTTCCAATGAATTGGCTCTTTGCATCAGGTGACCAAAGTACTGGAGCTTCATCTTCAGGCTTAATTAGATGTGGTTTGAAAAGAAGACTCTTCTTTTAAATAATAAAGTGATAAGCATTCATTTACTATAGAGCTAAGTCTAAACCTGTTATTTAACTAAAAGTCTGGTTTTGCTCATGGGCATGGGTGGGCCCATTAACAAAGAAAAAAAAAAGCCTATTATTTGCCAGACAGTGGTTTCTCCCTTGTGTTTTAAATCTGTCATCCTGTCTGTTCTGCTTCCGAAATCAAAAATAATATTTGCATGTTGACCAGGCTTTACAAGTGCTCACATGCAAATACCAGCTCTGACCGCAGAGTCAGGAAAATCAGAGTGTCTTCTAGAACCTTCCTCTGGGATTTGGGATACAGCCCATGTATCTAGTTTTCCTTTTGTTAGAGTCCCAGTGTGAGAGCAGTTGAGCAGGCGCAGGCAGCAGGTGCTGGCGCCTCAGTCATGTGTGGTGTGGATACATCAGAGGAAAATAAAACAAAGCAGAGAATGTAGACCAAGCATCGTCCCAGCTCCCTGCCTGCCGCCTGCCCCTTCCCCAAGACCAGACTGAACCACTCCTATCTGAAACTGTCCCAGCTGCCTATTCAGTGGCCTCCGGGCTTCTTAGGACAAGGGCCACATCCCCAAGGAAGCTTCCCATCCGTCTTCCAACCCTGACGCCTTGAAGCATCACAGGTTCTCACTAGAGAATTGCTGCTTATGGGGTGGATTGAAATGGGGCCACTCCACGGTTACTCCTGGTTCTCCAGCAGCGTTGTTTCCAGATTTTGCTTTCTTTTCATTCCCTTCCAGCCGATCCCTTTCCTCCCTACAGTTATCCTTATGTGGGTACGTAGTCGCTCCGTCGTATCCAATTCTGTGCGACCCTATGGACTGTAGCCTGCCAGGCTCCTCTGTCCATGGAATTCTCCAGGCAGGAATCCTGGAGTGGGTTGTCATTTCCTCCTCCAGGGGATTTTCTGGACCCAGGGATCGAACCCCCATCTCCTGTGTCTCAGATTCTTTTCCTGTTGAGTCACTGGCAAAACCCTGGAGTTTTAAGAATTTCAGAGAAGTCTTTCTTCTTTTAAGAAAGCTTCCATGAGGCTTCCACCCTCCGTCCTCCCTAGATCAAGGGAACATAGGTGGTCGGCCGATTCTGTGTGCTGTTTGGCCACTTCTGTGGCCCCGTCAGTCTTTTCCGGGAGCCACTCCCTGTATCCTCTGTTCCAGTTCAAGGTGGGGTCGTTCCTCCCACACGTGCATCTCCCTTGTTACACACAATTGCACACACACACACAGCCATTCTTGTAGCCTCTTTTCTTTCTTTCTTTTTTTTTTTTCCTTCTAATTTTAGCTGGGCTGGGTCTTTGTTGAGGCACATGGGTTGTTGTGCATGCATGGGCTTAGTTGTGAGCCCATGTAGTTGTGATGCATGGGCTTAGTTGTCCCGCAACATATGGGATCTTTTTTCCCTGACCAGGAAATCGAACCCTCGTCCCCTGCATTAGAAGTCAGATTTCTTAACCACTGGACCACCAGGGAAGTCCCCTCCTAG